TTTTTATGAGTTCCCCATTCAACAAGGAAGCTGGATTCTTCTTATGTCCAGAGGTTGACATTGTGGACAGTGTGGAGCAAGATCCAAAGTCAAGTTGCCAGAGGCCAGAAATGTCACGTCACATGGATTAGAAGAGTGGGTGAGAGACTCAGCAGGGCGTGGACTTAGTCAGGCGACAAGTGCAGGGGATTTGGATTTAGCAGCCAGTGATCTGTGCTCACCTGAGAAGGCCAAACCAGGAAGGACACGTAGTTATGTAATACTAAAGCATCCAGTGTTGGGCTTGGCAATCAATCGATTTAATCCCAAATAATCAGTGTTATAAAAAAGTGATAATGTGAAAAATTTAAAAACTGAAATCAAGAGTTTTGAGTTCTTTCTTATAGGTTTATGCCTAGTCCACAAAGGACGGAGTTCCCAGACTCAACTTGGATTATATTTGTGATGTCAGTCTATCTGTAAATAAAAACCAAAACAAAATATTGAATTGAATATTGAGTGTAAGAATCTCCTCTCATCGGCTCCATTTATGCATAGACCCTTAATTACCTTAATCTAAAGATTAAACTACTAGATTAACAGTAAGATCTATATATATATATAAGATATATATTTCTTTTTCAATATGAAATATACTGTATGTATTGTATATCTTCTTTTAACTATGAACCATATTGTATTGTGTCCTTAATAAAGATTAATAATAATAAAAAACTAACAAATATATCCAACTGTGATAACATGATCAACTTACATATTCAGCAGATAAAAACACATTATACATGGCGGATAGCTGAAATTATATGACCCAATTATTCTAAAACAGGGGATACACCCTACCAAAAAGCTAAGAATCTAAAAAAAGAAAAATTATTAACACAAAAGAAAAACCCCAATATTTACATGGTCAACAGATATTCATTAGAATATTTAGGCCCCTCTCCACACTCACCACTCAAAACAAAGTAATAGAAGTCAGACTCACCAGGTGGACCTTGAAGCTTTGCCTTTTTTACTGCAATAAACAGAAAAGAAAGAAACGTTAACAAAGTTAGTTAATTCACAGGAACAGACGGTTTTTTTGTAGACTTTTGAAATATTGGCCATCTGCCTCTTTGATAACTGCGCTCAGAAAAAATTGCCAAAAATATAATTCCCAAACATATATTCAAAAAAAATCACTGATATTTACTAGGGCTGTCAAAATTAACATGAGTGAAAATAACTCATGTTAATTACATTTTTCATTAACCCCGTTAAAACAAAAATTAACGCATGTCCGAATAACTCGCCCATGTATCCCATAATATCCCTGAGAATGCCGCGTACACATGCGTGTGTAGATGGCGACGGAGCAGGTCTCTGGGAATTCAAGTTTTAAAAGAATACGCATATGACCGTGGGGCACTTGCTGTTTGCCGTATGAACTGAAGTCCGCCTGCTCCGTGGCCGCAGCGTTCTGACCCGGGGCAGCTGCGGCCGCTCTGGACAGAGGTTCCCATCTTCAGCAGCTGTGAGCCGCTAACAACACAGCAAATGGCGCAGCGGAAACATGGTCATATAAGACTGTACACGCACAGGACTATTCTCTGCATGTTGTGTGTGTGTCTTTGCGTAACCTGTAAAGCATAATAAATACACAGCTGAAGCTAAACTATGGAGCCTCAGGAAGTGTCCGTTTCTCCTCTTAAAACGCAACTAAACTCGCTAAATTAAAGCTGAGGTATGTACATTTTCCCTTTCATTAACGGCTCCTGTTGATTGTGCCCAAAAGTAAAAGGTTGTGAGCAAAGCAAACAGATTCAAGCACATTTGGTATGAATGACAATGTGTCAATACATTTGATAATCTCATTTAACTTCAATTCGAGTGAATTTGAAATAGAATGTTAAAATTGCGATTAATTGAGAGTTAACTCACCATTACTATGCGATTAATCAACTAAAAAATTGGAATCGTTTGACAACCCTAATATTTACTGATGTTGATATATTTATATGAAATACATCTTTTTTTGCCGCCTTCAGATCTGCGTTGTTAGGACCTTTCATATATTTAGCTGTCCAAATGGGCTGCTAACAACTCGTGTTTGTCATTTTTGTTTTGAATAATATAAACTTTTGAATAACTATAAACCTGGAAAAATAAAGAAATAAACATTTATTATAAACTGTTCCTGTATATTGCACAAACAATGCTAAGTTGGATAATAAGTAGCGATTTTTTAATACAAAATAATAAATGCAACATCTTCACCACAAATAAACACAACTCAGGTGCCTTTAAACCACAACAAAGTCTACATTATCCATCATGCCCGGCGGCGAATGCACCTGCCCATTACATGTCTCTCATATGTGCGAGCATGGACCAAAAACATCATGCCGCCCATATACAGCACTCCACTTATAATACCTCCACAACACACCGCGCTATCTTCCACAACAATATCCGATCCAGTAAAGTAAACTAGTATCTGGTGATGTTATACATTGTTGGTTGGCTTTGGGTGCTGTGCGCACTAACTTCACTAGCCCACCCCATTACACCAGCATCAAACAAAGTGCAGCGAATGAGAAATAATTATTGGCTTGTTCACATCATCCTGATTTTGACACCGAATTGATTGCGATGTGTAAAAAAATGACCACATCAGTCGATATTATATTGGCAGCTGATATATTGTGCATCACTACATTATAAAGAATATAAAATAATTAGATACCCCAAGGGCATTGGCTTATTATTTTGTGGATTGAAATTGGCAGCGCTACAGTAGCTTGCCAATAAACCATTGAACGAAAAATACACGGACCGAAGTCACTCATATTCAAATCAATGTATTGTTTTATCACAAAAACGGTCTCATTGGCCTTCACAGAAACCCTGTCCGGGAAAGTGAGTCTAGGGTTTTGAGTCCCATCATGTGAAGATCTGTCAGTTTATAAATGTTATCAACATGTGATTATACAGCAACAATGAAGGTACGGATATCTTCTTGCCAATTGACAGTGAAATCTTGACTTAAAACGCTTTGCGAGACACTGGTTTATTTTTAGCGCGGCAGTGGTGGTCAGCTCAGGGATGCCTCTATACAATGATGGTTATGGGATTGTGGAGCGCTTTAGAGGGGATTAATTGTGATTGCAGCGCCAGTGTTGAGGCATAACCCACTAAAGCTCCGCGGCCCGCCCCGGCAGATGGGCCATCGGGATCAGGAGGCACCACAGACCACACAGTTAACTTCTCTGAAAACATAACTGTCTTTTGCAGATCATGAGTGTATTTGACAACTGTGAGGATTGAGGCTTGAAACATTTTTTATGAACATATTGATATTACAAATGATATCACAATACACATTTTCATACTCAATTTTACTACTACAGCAATTATGTTTAGACAATAATTTGAAATGTTTAACTACATATGGTATTACTACTAATTACAGTAGTATTTTTTTGTAAATACAACCAAACAAAAGTACGGTTTTACAAAAATATTATTCAAAAATTGCTCAAGAAATGTCAAATTTTAAAATCAGTATTTCGTTTTTTTACTTACGTATCTGGGCTACTTATGA